CTGGGGATCTCATTGCCAGGGAATGTCGTGAAGGCCAAAAGTATGACTGGGTTCAAAAAAGAATTAGATAAGTTCATGGAGGATAGGTCTATCAATGGCTCTTAGCCAAGATGGTCACAGATGCAACCCCATGCTCTGGGTGTCCCTAAACCTCTGACTGCCAGAAACTGGGACTGGATGACCGGGGATGAACTACTCATTAAATTGCCCTGTTCTGTTCATTCCCTCTGAAGCATCGGGCACTGGCCACTGTCGGAATACAGGATACTGGGCTAGATGGACCATTGGTCTAACCCAGTCTGGCGGTTCTTACGTTCTTGTGATATAAAGACCATGGTGCCTTTTGAGATCTGAACCCAGGAACCAGGAACACGGAGGCGCTACAGAAGTACTAGCTTTGGCCTTCATTCTCCACTGCCTTACATCAGTTTCATCTGCATTGACATCAGTGAAGTGACTTCTGATTTACACTGGTGAAAATGAGGGGAGAATCAAGCCCTTTATCTTTGCTTTTGGGACCTCGGCTCTCTGGAGCTTCCTCCCTTTTAGTCCCAGAAGTCCCAGGGTGTCAGCCCCTTTTGATGAAAAATTTTACTTCAGGCCTTTGGCACAGCCCCTTGGTTTTACATCTGGTTTGATACAGATGTTTATTTTACCTTTAGGTCTCTTTACTACAAAGCACCTTGGATACTTTTGTAGCTAGAGGGGGCTGCAAAAATTAAAATGTGTTACAACAGAGCCCTGCTTATTTGTTGGGGGAATGACACAAACCTTTGGAAAATCAGGAGCTTGGTGAATTGGGGAAGCGTAATACAGCTGCATCTGCCTGAGTTCGCTCAGCTTTTCAGCCTGCTGGGTAGTCAGACGGCCTTTCCACTGTGCTCAGGGTGTTGTGCAAACTACCGAAAACCCACTGAAATGCAGCCACCTCTGGGGTGGGACGCAGCTGCTGTATAACAGCACACAGCAATGCTACACAACAGCTCAGGACAGGAAGTGAAGGAGAATACAGTAGTCGCTTGATGCGGTATGTAGGGAGACAAAATAGAATTGCCTGTGGCTAGGGGGCTGCATTTAACAGTACAAATCTTGCAAAAAGTGTCATGGGCTCTAATCACGAAGCTTGCAGGCCTTCGGTTTTGCATTTCAGCTGAAAGACCTTTCCACTTCCAGTGACTTACGGCATGAAGTTTAAGGTGTATGGGAGTTGGAGGCTGGCCAGCCATACTTTCTAAATGCCCCAAGCCTTTTTTTCTTTCTTCCTTCTCCCAGATTCTCTGCTATGGGCGAAGAAGAAGGGATGCTATCGGAGGTTCTCTAGTGAGCTGTATAACTGAGCCTTAATCGACACTGACTGCTCTGCATGGGCATCCCCACGGCACAGGCTATGCGCCCGAAGTCCTGGCCCAACATGTGCCACCTCGGCATCAAACCCAGGATGGAAGGGGGAGGTAGGGTGACCAGATGTCCCGATTTTATAGGGACAGTCCCGATATTTGGGGCTTTTTCTTACATGGGTGCCTATTACCCCCCACCCTCTGTCCCGATTTTTCACGCTTGATATCTGGTCACCCTAGGGGGAGGCAGTCTCTTTGTTGGCTTTTCCACCGTCCTGCTTGGACACCAGGAGAGGATGCCCCCTGCAGCCTGGATTTAGCTGCTCTCTGCTGCCGTTATGCTCCAGGTTCTGCTAATAATTGTCAGTTATTCCCCAAGCTGCCTCCTGCAGAACGTGAAGCTGAAACCTGCGACCTTTGCACCAAGTGCCATGGATAACCCGGCAATAAAACCACACACCTGAGGACATTGCCCAATGCAGGCTCCTGCCCCGATGCTATTGGAGCTGACAGCACCTGGGGAACAGGATTAAAAAAATCACAACTTCCTCGGGAGGTGGGGGGCGGGGAAGGAACCTGTATGCGCCCACTAAGCAGCATTACAGCTCTGTCTCTCTTCGGCAGTGGGGGAGCTCTGTGTATCCCCTGGACTGTTGCCCAAGAGAGCAGCCCCACATTCCCTCTTGGGAGCGATCTAACGGGCCCTGAATTTTGATAGACCCTGTTTAGTCTTACGCCTTCCCTGTCGATTTTGACTGGAACCTACTTCTTAGCAGAGGCAGACTGGAGCGTACCTCTGAGATGGGGTCAGTGGGCTTTGAGGGGGAGGCGATCTGCTAAACTCACCCTCCAGATCTGCCAAGCAGGTGCCTAGTGGCCAATCCCCACTGTGCTCACCTGAGCTTGGCCGCTGGGCTTCAATCCCTAACGGCGCCCCGCTCCCTTAAGGCCCGATTCTGTGCACCGCTCCGCATCGCCCATGAGGTGCTGGACGTCTGCAACTCCCGGGGACATCAGCAGATGCTGAGGGCCCCCAACGCCTCCTAGGATCAGGCCATTGATTGCTAATCAGAAGATGTTGTGCAATGAGATAACAGCGCTAGACGCTGACCTTGCATCTCACTCATGGCCTTGCCCCTCGCCCCGGCCCCTTGCACCACGCCCCAGTCACAAGGTTTCTTACTCATCTGGGCTTCGGGATCCCTCTGCCAGGGGGAAAATCCGCCTAGGCCTCCCGTTGCTGGAGGGGACTGCTGGGCCTCAGGCAGAGGGGATGCTTGTATATTTCCCACCTTGCTCCCTTCCCAGCATTCCCGGCCCCAGAGGCACAATCAGGATCGATTGCCAAGCCTACCATTCCCCTGTGACAGCCTGGAGCTGGGCTGGCCTGGCAACTGGCTACTACATCTCAGGTCTGGGCTTCCATGGCCCTTCTCTGACTTGCCCCACGTGACTGAGAGCAGGATCCGACCTTCGCTGTCCTAGCGCCAGACGGGAAGCACCGTAGCCACAGCCCAAAGCATCCACTTGCCCAGATTCAGAGGTTTCCGTGCATGGTTATTGGAAAAGCCTCTGAAACAGGCATTTTCCGCCCGAAGGGCAAACCGGTCCCGTGCAATAACGCAGAGTGAACAGCTCCCACAATCTGCACCAAGAAAATCACCTTCCGGGCCACATCGCTCCTCCCATTGCCCACCGCACCAGCCGTCAATGTCCTCCGTCAGTCTAGGAGCTTCTCTGGCCCCCGGGGCTGCAGTAAACAGGCACCTGACAATCGTTCATTCTCCCAGCTCCCCTGGCAAATCTGTATCATTATCTCCACCTTACACAGGAGGAGCTACTCAGAGGGATGCCGTGACTTGTCCACGGTCACCCCGGAAGTCTGTGGTAGCACCAGGATTTGAACCTTGATTCTCCGGAACCCAAGACCACAAGCCCGGCCTTCTCCTCAACAGGCTCATCCCAGTCTGCACCTCGGACCTCATCTGCTACCATCTTTGCGCTCTGTTTATCCGCCAGCCTCAACACTCTGTTCATCTCCATAGGATCATAGAAGCAATTCCTTTGAACAGTCAAGTTACAGAGCCCTCCCCAGAAGGGTTATAATAGAAACTGGCAACGTCTTCACCATTACAATGATTCGTAGAGTTTAAGGGCAGAATACACCTTTAGATCATCTGGTCTGACTTCCTGTATGTCACAGGCCATAGATTTCACCGCTAGCCCTGTCCTGGGCCTGCTAACTAGCGAACGGCTGAAGTACAACTTCCGGAGAAGCAGCTAATCTTGATCCGAAGACATCAAGAAATGGAGAATCCACCCTTCCCTTGGGAGCTTGGTCCGTTGGTCAACCACCTTTGCTGTTAAACATTTGTGCCATAATTCTCATTTGAATTTCTCTGGGCAATTTGTAGCTGTTGGATGACTTTGTTTTACATTAACTGCAGCTGGGCATTCGGGACCGCTTCACTCCGATCCAGGCCTCGCTGCTGTCATCCAGGCCTGCGTCACTGCAGTGCGCTCTACATGGGACTACTCTCGAAGTCTTCCCAGAGGCCTTACCTGGTGTGGATGGCTGCCTGTCTGGTGAGGTTAGCCGTAGGGCTCTTTGCCGAACAGCCAGCCATGGAACAGACCCATCAAAACTGGACTGCTCTATGAAGTTCAGGACGTGTGGCCTGTCTCCTCTGATTTCCAGTGTGCCCATCACCTTAGTATCTGGGCAACATGGTAAGCTCAGCCACTGCACTACTGCGGCGAACAACTCATGTGCTTGAAGAAGCTACAGGGGAGCTGCTCCGGCAGTGCTATCGCCCCATAGGCACCTGGCAGGCCAGAGCCAAGAGGCCTGACTGGGTTGTCACTGATGCTGGCGTAAATCTGGAGTGACCCCATTAAAGTCAATGTCCAGGCAGTCCAAGTGAGAGCCAGGTCACACCTCAGGATGTTAGTTCCACCCATTCCATCACCTGGTCCCGTATGGGAATTCTGCCCACTGAGGGAGGAAGAAGACAGAGCAGGATAATAACGAGGGAGGAAGAAGACAGACCAGGATAATAACCTTCTACTCCTTAGAGGTTTACGTCCATCGATCTCAAAGTGCTTAAGAAGGTAAGTACCATTATCCCCATTTCACAGGTGGAGAAACCAAAGCACGGAGGTTAGGTGGCTTGGACCAGTGTCACACAGCAAGTCAGGGCCAGAGCTGGGGGTAGAACCTAGGAATCCAGGTGTCCTGCCATGTGCCCTGGCCTCAGAAGGCCGGAAAGGCAGCTCATGTGTTTATGATACGGGATAAGATAAGGGCGCGAGTCCAAGGCAACATCTTCCAAATGCCCCGGGATTATTTCTGACACCCAGAAAATGTGATTAATGCTGATGCACTGGTCTAGCAAAAGGGAAATCGTTCCTGAAAGTGGGTGAGAGTTCACAGAGAAATGGGGCGGGCTGGGACTTTGCACCGCCGGGCCCAGTGCCCACCCTGGCTTGGAGAACAACAAAAACATCTCGGTAATAGTTACCCAGCTCCCCTCAGCCATTACCGCTCCCCTCTAGCTGTCAATCAGCATAGAGCCCTTTGCCCCACTGTCCAATCAGAACCGGGGAGGGTTTTGCAATCCTTGAGGCTATTTCTGCTCCGTTGGAGTTTAAACTTTGCCATTGAGTGAAAGAAGCTTTGGGGAGAAGCAGAGAGAGAGAGAAGACTTATCCCAGCCACCAGTGCTTCCCGGGGTTCGCCGGGAACCCCCAGTCCACATCAGCAGAGGCCCTTGGAGTGGGACTTGGCTATAGACAGAGGTGAGTCCACGGGCCAATTCCTCCAGAAATCTGTCCTTTTGGTGTCTTTTCCTAGCAGCCCTGAGTTTGGCTATCAGTGCCGCACAAACAACAGGACAAAGGTCGGGACAGGGGGACAGAAAAGTCCACTGGCCAAAGAGTGATTTAATAACAACCGATTGCTGTTAATAGCGTATTAATTAGCAATTTCCCACCCAGACTCAAGCAGCTACCTTAGAAAGTCTGCCTTGGGTTGAGGTGTGGTTTTTTTTTTTTCATTATATTTTTCAAACTTGCCGTCAACCATTGGTATTTGGCATCTCCATTATAAGCATTGAGTCCAGATCCAGTCACTGAATATTCATCTGATGCTTATAAAATGTGATTAATGCTGGTACCTGTTTGTTTCTTAGGGCCAGAATTTTCACAAGAAATGGGTCCTAGGTGGTATGATACAAATGAATCATCACCACTCCTCATTTGGGCTGCCAAATAAGTATCCAGATTTTCACAAGAGCTTTGTAGCACAACAGGGGCAGCTGGGGGTTGAGATCTGGAGTATCTGTCCTGTAGACGGGAGCTGAACTCTTTTGAAAATCTGGCCTCATAGCTACAGAGCACGGCTGGCTGGGAACTGATTTGTTGGGTACCTGCAAAAGATTTCGATGAAAACAAATCAAGACTTTGTCAAGATTTGCTGCCCGAAGTTTTCGCCAAACTGAAACATTTTGGCCAGCCAAACTCCAACCAAAAAACCGTTGGGTTTGTGGCCAAGCAAAATGATTCAGTGGCTGAAGAGGGAAAGTTTTTCAGGTTTTTCAACAAAGGCCCCCAAATTTCTTCAAAATTGGCCCTTTCCCGAGGAAAAGCTGTTTGGCACCGAAAAAACGTTTGGAACGAAAAACATCATCGCCGTTACTACAGAGCCCAAGGGTTGTGTTTGCAGAAATAAAGACTTAACGGGCCACAGTTTGCTTTAGGCTGGGGTAGACTGGGAGGAGCTCTGCAGTGCGCCTGATCCTCCTTGGCCTTGTGCTAGCCACCGATTTCCGATGCCTCCCGGTGTACGACACAAGCGAGCCCCTCGGTGCTGGATTTGCACCGGGGAAACGAGAGCCCGAGATAGGGGCAGATGTAAGAAATCAAGCTCAGTTTCGCATCTGCTGTCCCCTCCCCCAGGTCAGCCAGCTCCTGCCCCTGGAGCGGGAAGGACCCAAAGTCAAGTAGCTGTTTTCTGGCTCTCTGTGGAGAGCCTAAAAAAGAGAGGTGGGGGTGTCAGCTGAGAGGCACTCAGAACTCAGAGGCCCCAGAACCCTGTGGAGGGCCACGCTATGGGGCAGGAGAAAATGGACAGCCATGAAATCACCCCGGCTCTGTAGCTGTGGAGTGAGTCCCAGGCAGGGGTCAGCTCAGAGGTTCCTGGTTGCCAGGAAACAATTAGTTGCTCATTATTTCAGATGGGCACCGAGTGAGCCCATCACCCAGTCACCTCCCCTCTTAACCTCCCAAAGGCAGCCGCTAACACCTCCCACTCCCAGTCCTCTATCCGCCTCCATCGGCTCTATCCGCCTCAGGGGCCACCAGAAAGGGCTCTGCAGGCTGAGGACTATCCTACGGGCGCAAGCCAGGGCCTGGGATGTAGCAAGGATGCTCCAGGTTTCAGGGCCTCTTGCTTGGCCTCTCTGAGCCCAGCCAAGTTCTCACCTACGTGAGGCAGGAGGGTGGGATATTTGGGTGCTTTGGACACTTCTCTCCAGCCAAGGGCCCTCTCCCCGCGGCTGGGACGGCCACCTCCTCTACGTCGGCGGTGCGTCCTGACAACCGGCCTTTGGGGGTTTGCCAGCACCATTTCCTCGTCTCCAGGGGCTCAGCAAGGTGGGGTTGGCACATGCAGGAGGGAGTCTGGCATCTGCCCATTTCCAGAGACCTGCTGTATGGAGGAGAATCGCTGATCTCCGGGGACCCAACGGGGTGAAGCCCTCGTGCTTGGAGCAGTTTGGAGGGACCTTTATTAGTCACCAGCTTGGCCCAGGAGCCTCCCTCCTGCATGTCAGAGATGGGGGAGCGGGGAGGCTCAGAGCTATCAAAATGCCAACCCCTGCCCAACAGAGCGGTGCAAAGCAATAGAACAGACCCTAGCCACTTAAGACTTATTGGGTGTCCCTGCTCTGCTCCCCACAGCCCCTGGGAACTCCAGCATAGCAACGGGGAGAGAACTCGGCTGTGCAACGACATTTCCTGTCTCTTAAACTAATGGAGAATCTCCCTTAGGTGCTGGCGGTATAGGGGCTATGAAACACAGGGCAGGTGTTTGGATTCCCTCCATTAGAGGGTATTGGTGCACACATATGCACGCAGGCACACAAAGACAAAGACACCCCCCCCACACACACACATTTCTTTGTGTCTACACAACAGCCAAGATTTTCAGCAGTGACTAGCAACTTTGGGTGCCCAACCTGAGACACTTTAAAGGGCCCGACAGTCAGAGGGGCAGGTGAAAAGCAGCCCCCTTTACGGTGACTTAAGTCAGTCCCCCAGAATCACTCATCCTCTTGGGAAATACTGGCCTGTCTTTCCCTAAGCGCAGGCCTCGAGGGAGCCGCCCAGGGCCAGCCCCTGCCTACGCTACGCTGGGGAAACGCTGCAATGTTGTTCCCTCCCAGCAGGAGGCGCTGCTGGAGACAGCCAGGGCAGACGCAGAGAGTCAGACGGGGAGAAAAGCTGGAGGTTCAGAGTCCAGCAGTAAATGTGGCTCCAGTCAGGCTGAGCGGGGGCGGGGGGGGAGATTCTAGGAAGAGGCAATAAACCGAGCCGTGAGGCCTGGTTAGGCTCCATGGCCAATGCTGAGGGAAGGGGAACGAACCTGAATGTTCCCCACTCCCCTTGGACTCCGTCCCCACTCCCAGACCTGGGGGCAGGGCCGGCGGGGGAGGGGATCCCCATCCCAAGGCTGGGGGGACACGGCACCTGCCAGGCAACGAGCTGAGGAAACAGAGCGAAGAGGAGCTGGTGGGGAGATGATTCCCCAGGGGAGGCAGGTGTCAGGGAGTCCCCGGGCGATGTCTGGGACTGCTCGCCCCCAAACCCAGTCAGGACTCTGGGGGGCCTCCTCTCTGTGAGCAAACTGTCTTCAGGGCAAGAAGCTCACATGGCTTCACCTCCTGGGTCTCTCCTGGGAGCATTCAGCATATGCCCGTCCGTATGCTTCCCACAGCGAGTCCGCCCAGGCCGGGTCCTGGGGAAGCCAGAGGGTCCTGCACCCCCACTTCGCAGTCAGACGTGACTCTCAGCCAGCCAGTAAAACAGAGGTTTATTAGATGACAGGAACACGGTCTAAAACAGAGCTTGTCGGTCCAGCGAACGGGACCCCTCCGCCGGGTCCATTCTGCGGCCCAGAGAGCCAGACACCCCCGTCTGCACTCACACCCCATCCCCAGCCAGCTCCAAACTGAAACCCCCTCCAGCCCCTCCTCCTCTGGGCTTTGTCTCTTTCCCCGGGCCAGGAGGTCACCTGATCTCTTTGTTCACCTTTAGCTATTTCCTTGCAGGGGGGAAGGGCCCCTGGCCATTTGTTGCCAGGAGACAGAGTGTCGGTGATTTATGCACACTGGCCCTTTGCTCTGCAACAATCTCACCCCCCAGAGACTTAAGAAATGCATAGGGGAAACTGAGGCACCCACACAGTATTCAGAGGAAACATTAAGAACAGTCCCACTTCGTCACAGCAGGGCAGGAGGGATTCGCTCTCGCATCCCAGTTCTCACTATATCCCTGAGGCCCACCCCCAGCTCTGCACCCCGAGCTCCTCGCTGAGCCCCCACCTCTGCACCCCAAGCTCCCCACTGACCCCCCCCCCCCGCTCTCGCCCCCCCGGCCCCCCCCCGGGGCCCCCCCAGGTCTCTGTACCCCAGGCTCCCCGCTGAGCCCCCCCAGGTCTCTGCACCCCAGGCTCCCCGCTGAGCCCCCCCAGGTCTATGCACCCCAAGCTCTCCGCTGAGACCATCCCCAGCTCTGCACCCCGGGGTGCCCAGGGAGCTGGCCTGGCCTTACGGTACTGTCTCTTCCCCAGCAGACATGGCCTCCAGCTGCCAAATGGGCAGCATTGACAGCCTGGAGCTACTGGACCTGCTCTTTGACCGACAGGACGGGATCCTCCGGAACGTGGAGTTCGGGGGCCACACGGCCGGCTGGCCCGGGCCAGAGCAGAGTGTGAGTTCCCCTCCCCCAGAGCCGGGGCCAGCGGGGGAGGCAGGGGCACACGAGGGAAAAACCGGCCTGGTCTCCCAACCAGGGGTTCCCCAAGGACCCCTCTGCCTGGGAGGCCAACAAGTCACTGACTGATCCGCCCAGTGCAGTGCACTAGTGCCGGGGGTGGGGAGGGGGAGGCTGTCCCCACCCCCTCCCCTGGGTGCACTGGGGTCCCCACTCCATGCACTAGTGCCGGGAACCCCAGTCCCAGCCCCACCCCCGCCCCCGGCTGGCTCACGCTCTGGCAGGGCGTGTCCATGGGCAGGCCGATGCCCGGCTCCATCCATGCCCTGCTTCCCCCTCCCGTGGGTGACTCGTCTCCTGGTCTCATTTCCGTCTCTTCTCCAGCAGCTGCTCGGTGCCCAGGAGAACGAGGATTTCCTCTGCTCCATCCTGGGCTCGGGGGACTCCGGCTCCGACTCCCCGATCTGGTCCCCTGCAGCCAGCGACAGCGGCATCTCCGAGGACCCGAACTCGGACCAGCTCGACAGCCCCCAGCACTACGTGCCCACAGGCAGCCCGGGGGGCTACTCGGATGGGGGGCCCGGTGAGCCGGCGTACCCCTACCAGGAGTCCTCCCAGGCCCAGTCCGCTCCCAGCCTGCCTGGGGCTGACCTGCGGGAGGCCGAAGTCTCCATAGACCTCGGTGAGTTCAGGTGTGGAGCTGGAGTGGGGGGAAAGGGGAGCCTCATTGGGGAGCCCGGGATGAAGGGAGCTGGGAGAGGGGCTCAGCGGGGA